ACATCACTGATCAATAATCAAAGAACACACAGATCAAACTGATTGATCAGCCATCAGAGGAGTCGGATCAATGGAGCTGCTTCTGTTCCTGATGTCCCCTGTTTGATCCTGGACCTGAACTCTCCCTGCAGAGGAGACACAACACAGTCAGACAGGAACTAAGAAACAAATAAATAAATACAAACAAACAAACAAACAAACCTTTGACTGTGAGCAATACTGTTTTGTATCTCTTGATCTTCTCTGTTTTGACTACACATCTGTACTCTCCACTGTCTCTCTCTGTGGGCTGTTTCAGGGTCAGACTGAGGTCTCCAGTTTTCAGCAGCTTTTGCTTAATTGCTGTTCGGCCTCTGTAACACTGGTGCTGTTCTTCAGGCAGATCAGAGCTGTTCTGATACACATGGACCATTCTTTCACCACTGATCTTCCACTGCACCTTGGCATCTTCAGGCAGGTTTTCTGTTGTTTTGAAGGGCAGCTGGACAGATCCCGCCCCCTCGTTCACCTCCACCTGACAGACTGAGAGGACAATAAACACAGGACAGACAGATAGCAGGTTCAGAGCTATAGAGAAATCTGAAGGACAATAATGTGTAGACTCTGTTAGAATTTATTTTTAACTTTAAGGCTCATATAGCCCCATTATTGTATTTTATGCAATGACCTCACAAATTGTATCACACATTTGTTTCATTCTTTACTGCACAGAGATATGTTTTGTAGAATAGTTTTGGTTAGACTGTTAGACTTAGACACTAACAGATATGAACAGGGAAAAGGAATTTGAGGTGGATGGTCTGCCTGGATGGTGATGGCACCAGAAAGCATAAAAATTTAAGGTGGACTCTCCTAGAGAAAAACAGGGCTATAAATTCTGCTGTTAGGGAATGCTTTCTTTCCCCCTTCTCTCTCTCTACAAGCCTGACTGGATGACAAGTGATGGTTGCCATGGTGATGCGAGAAGAGATGTCTCCATACAGGGAGATGCTGGAAAGGTGCAGAAGATGAAACATGAGGCTGACATGGCTTCTAAAGGCTTCGTCCAACGTTTTGACCAATCGGGTTAAAACTGTTTTTACCAAATGCAATAAAAGCACTCTATCATCAGGAGCATTATCTTTAGTGGACATGCTGCCAGTGGTAGAATGGAGAAAAA